TTGGCTACCACTTTCTGATGAGCCCCCCCCTCTCCTCCCCCCTCAACTTGCTTTTAAGGGATTACATCTTGAATCATTGCCTCACTTGATGCAGCAAATCTGGCTGTGACGGTCCCACCTGATGACGGAGACTTGTGTTGCCTCCGAAACGTCGTGATTTTTATTTTATTTTACTTTTATTAATTTTAATGTTTTACCTACGTGACTGTACCGAAAACACCTAAGAATATGAATCCTTGCAGTCACGAAAGCTTCAAATCTAAAAGTATTGTTTACCCACGTACATTGCGGCTGACGATGGAGAGCGTGTCATTTGGAGTCGCCGCGTCTTCATCGGTTAACTTGCGAAAGCTTTTTGCATCCAAGTGACCACCGCGACCCATGGACGAGTGAGGAGCAGCTGATTAGGCGAGCGCGGGCGTCCAAATATAATGCATTACTTTTGCAAGCACGCTTAATCTGCGAAACCAGATCATACCATCTCGCCCCCTGTCTTAACGTTAACCGCTCGGTTAAAACAACAACAAAAACACAATTACACCACTGACTTCAGCCCAAACGGTTTGTGTGCAAGACACTAAACTTGGCATTGCGATGCTGCATGCAGTTTTTGGAAAGATTTAAGGACAAACACCGACATCAAGGACAGGGCACGTCCGGCGAAAACTTTGTGTATATATATTTTAATCTGTCGGGTGGAAACTGTCTCCTGCATATATAGATAAGTTCTGCGTTGAATCACCCAAATGCGCGAGCTGGCTGTGACCATCCTCGCAGTCATCTTCAGAAGGGCCATTTCAAGGGCCCTGGCAAGTCACCTTGAAGAGTGAGTGCTGGCAAAGCCGTGAAAACGCACTTGAATCAGCTGGCGGTTCGTATCGCTCACGGAGTTGGGTATTGGTTTTCAGGTTGTGGTCTGGGAAAAAAAAAAATTTGATGCTGCCAAGCAAGCTTTAATTCGCAATTACATTTAGAAGTCTATGTCACGAGCATTAAAATCGGTTTAATCCACTCGATGTATGTGTAGTGGAGTAACGCACGTGGGGTTTTGCCAACAGTGTGCATGCACGTGTGAGCCGCGGACAGTGAGGTCACATCAGGGCGAAGAGGTGCTGCGAAAGAAAGCAACGCGAGAGAGACGGACAATTAAGATGTATAGCCGTGATTGGTTGGCTGCAAATGCAGGCGTGGAGTAGGCGCCTCTGAGTCTGCAGATTGAGGCGATAGCAGCGGACGCCACGTGCGAGAGGCAACGGGAGGATGCCAGCTTAATTAGGGCGTTTAATGAGGAGCAGGATAAATACGGAACGGGTGAGGCAGGGAGTTGAGTTGGTTGGAGTGAAGAGAAGAGTGAACACGAGAAGTTCGGGGCCGCGCTCCCCACACCTCGCCCTCTCCAGCGGTGATGGCTGATCCCCCACTGGAGGCAAGGGTGAGATTGGAAAAGTGAGGGCAGACAAGCTAGTGGTAGAGGCTAGTGGAATCCTAAGCGTAAGTGCGCGAAGACTAGCCGTAGATAGGCAAGCAGTGTACATAGCGGAAGGCTAGCAGTGGAGAAGATAGCAGAGTATATAGCGGAAGGCTATAGCAGTGGAGAAGCTAGCAGAGTGTATAGCGGAAGGCTAGCAGTAGAGAAGCTAGCAGAAGATATAGTGAGAGGCTAGCAGAGTGTACGGTAACAGGCTAGCAGTGGAGAGGCTAGAAGAGTGAGAGAGAGCAGGCTAGCAGTGGAGAGGTTGAGAGAAAGCGGAATGAGCGAAGCGGGCGAGCAGCGCAAGCGGGAGAGTTGCGACGGAGTCACGTGGTGTTGAACGCGAGGAGTTCTGTTCAATAAAAAGCGACACAGGAGAAAAAGAAGTTGTCCGCGTGGATGCCACATCGATTGACGAGGACTGACAATTGATGAGGACTGCGTGAGGAGTGGTGGCGGCTTGGGGAGGCCTTCATCCAGCAGTTGACTGACAATGGCTGTCGATGATGATCACAATGATGAAGACGCAAAGATGTCGAACGAAACTTGTAAACACATAGGCTATCGCGACCAATATTATACATGAGGTGTTTGGGTTATATCGCGTCAATATAAATGTTTAGTTGAACCTGCCACCAACCGTTTAACTCCCAGGGTTTACTCTCCAACACACCGGTGTACTGTACTAGTAACAAATAGGCATGTTTTGTTTACGTGACAAACCTTACTAATTGGCTGTGTCGGGTGGTGGCAGGTTTAACGATACATTTATATTTATACGCGATCTAACCCCAAAAAAATATATTATGGGGAACTTGTAAACGGTTGATGCCATTCCAGATTAATACGTTTCACATCCGTGTCATCTATTCTCATATCTATAAAAGGTAAATTTGTGATCGTGTCTGTTCAAAATGTTTAGCGTACTTCCCGACATGCAACAAACTTGAAATTTGCCATGTGGGTACTTCCCAGACTGTACACCATGCAATATTGCAGATATTTTGCACGGCAAGTGAGCTGTGACGTCACATCTGTCATGTGATCCGTGTGCGGAAGCGTAACGGAGTGTGCCTGCTGTTCGCGGGTAAAGTGAAATACAAATGTGTTGCAGGTCTCAAGCGTTATTTGCGCAGCATTGCTTTATTTCAGTCGTTTACTGCCGTACGCACCCTGAAAGTTGTCTGCAGCAAGCGCGTGTGTGTGGAGGGAGCAGTAGTGTAGTGGTTAGCGCGCTGCGATACGAACCCGGCGATCCGAGTTCGATTCCCGCTCACGGCCACCACCGGTGACGATTATTTGAACCGGTCCTGGGCCTCCCCTAGGTCGACTCAGCCTCAAACGAGTAACTGGTGTGGTGTGAACATCGCCACTGGGGAGACAAAGGCTGGGCGTGGTGAATCCAAGTCTATATACTGTATATTTAAACCATGCCAGATTTCAAATGCCAGCGGGTTATGAGCATTCAGGCGAAGCCTAAGACAGAGGAATTTGAGTTTCTGAAATTATGATTTGCTGTTTGCATTTGACTTGGAAGGCCACTCTTCACAATTCGTCATGCCTCACAATCGTGGCACAAGCGAGAGCTTTATCCTCCTGTGCTCTAGAGGCTTTGGCGAGACCTCTGCAACTTGTACCAGGCCTCTGCAACTTGTACCAGGTGCAACGGCGTTGGCAATGACCAGAGACCAACATTACCGATCAAACTCTTTTGTTGACAGGAAGAAGAAGAAAAAAACAACTCGAGCAAGTGTAGGATATTTTTTACAAGCAACGGGTTGCTACATGCGTTGTATGCTTACATTAAAAGCATCTGTTTAAAACGGTCCCGTTTATTTTATTGTATTCAACTCACGATAAATAACGAAATCCTTCAGGAGAAAAAAAAATGCAAAGTGAGAGACACAGAGCAACTGGAATGATGTGATTTGTGAGTTAAAAGTAGTCTTTGGTGAACATTTAAAAGTAAAATACAAGCAGATAAATAACGCAAACGACTAAGACTGACCCTGTAACGACAGCATATTATGCACAAAATGTTTGCTAGCCAGTATTAAAATTAACAATGTACAAGTATAATGCATCCTTAAAAGCATTTTATATCTACCGTCATGTGTGTTGGTACGTAAAGGCTACAGTGAGGGAAAAAAGTATTTGATCCCCTGCTGATTTTGTACGTATGCCCACTGACAAAGAAATGATCAGTCTATAATTTTAATGGTAGGTTTATTTGAACAGTGAGAGACAGAATAACAACAAAATCCAGAAAAACGCATGTCAAAAATGTTATAAATTGATTTGCATTTTAATGAGGGAAATAAGTATTTGACCCCTCTGCAAAACATGACTTAGTACTTGGTGGCAAAACCCTTGGCAATCACAGAGGTCAGACGTTTCTTGTAGTTGGCCACCAGGTTTGCACACATCTTAGGAAGGATTTTGTCCCACTCCTCTTTGCAGATCTTCTCCAAGTCATTAAGGTTTCGAGGCTGACGTTTGGCAACTCGAACCTTCAGCTCCCTCCACGGATTTTCTATGGGATTAAGGTCTGGAGACTGGCTAGGCTACTCCAGGACCTTAATGTGCTTCTTCTTGAGCCACTCCTTTGTTGCCTTGGCCGTGTGTTTTGGGTCATTATCATGCTGGAATACCCATCCACGACCCATTTTCAATGCCCTGGCTGAGGGAAGAAGGTTCTCACCCAAGATTTGACAGTACATGGCCCCGTCCATCGTCCCTTTGATGCGGTGAAGTTGTCCTGTCCCCTTAGCAGAAAAACACTCCCAAAGCATAATGTTTCCACCTCCATGTTTGATGGTGGGGATAGTGTTCTTGGGGTCATAGGCAGCATTCCTCCTCCAAACACCGCGAGTTGAGTTGATGCCAAAGAGCTCCATTTTGGTCTCATCTGACAACACTTTCTTTCACCCAGTTGTCCTCGGAATCATTCAGATGTTCATTGGCAAACTTCAGACGGGCATGTATATCGGCTTTCTTGAGCAGGGGGACCTTGCGGGCGCTGCAGGATTTCAGTCCTTCACGGCGTAGTGTGTTACCAACTTTTTCTTGGTGACTATGGTCCCAGCTGCCTTGAGATCATTGACAAGATCCTTCCGTGTAGTTCTGGGCTGATTCCTCACCGTTCTCATGATCATTGCAACTCCACGAGGTGAGATCTTGCATGGAGCCCCAGGCCGAGGGAGATTGACAGTTCTTTTGTGTTTCTTCAATTTGCGAATAATCGCACCAACTGTTGTCACCTTCTCACCAAGCTGCTTGGCGATGGTCTTGTAGCCCATTCCAGCCTTGTGTAGGTCTACAATCTTGTCCCTGACATCCTTGGAGAGCTCTTTGGTCCTGGCCATGGTGGAGAGTTAGGAAAATTATTGATTTATTTCTTCTGTGAACAGGTGTCTTTTATACAGGTAACGAGCTGAGATTAGGAGCACACTCTTAAAGGGAGTGCTCCTAATCTCAGCTTGTTACCTGTATAAAAGACACCTGGGAGCCAGAAATCTTTCTGATTGAGAGGGGTCAAATACTTATTTCCCTCATTAAAATGCAAATCTATTTATAACATTTTTGACATGCGTTTTTCTGGATTTTGTGTTGTTATTCTGTCTCTCACTGTTTAAATTAACCTACCATTAAAATTATAGACTGATCATTTCTTTGTCAGTGGGCAAACGTACAAAATCAGCAGGGGATCAAATACTTTTTTCCCTCACTGTACATACACTGTGTAATGGATATATGTCCACACTATGTTTTGTTACATCATTGGTTCATATTTCGAAAGCGAGTATATACAATAATATATGCACACATATACAGGACCAGTTGGGGAAACGGTGGCACAGTGGTTGGCACACCGCACTTCCAACCCAGCAACCTCAGTTCGATTCCCAGCCACGAATACACATCAGTCAAAAGAAAACAATATAATATTTTTATTCAACAGGTAAAGCCCACAGAGCTATTAAGCTCCGATTCAGAGGTGACCTGGTCACACCTGATAGCTCATGGAAGTGGCATCACATGCAGAAATTTATCAGAGCCAATTCATCTAAATAATCCAGATAATTAAATTTTCTCCACCGGTCCTGCCCACCCATCCATCCACTAACCCACACTGACCAGCGTGGTGAGGTATCGACAAATAACCCTGATGGCCGATACTGTTTAATTAGGCCTTAATCCATCAATGGATTTGAAAGAGTGCTCCATTAATCTATTTATTTTATATTCATATATTTTTAATACATGAACAGCCACTATGTTTGTCTTGCTTTGTACATTATAAGTGATACTCAAATATTCGGAACAGGTTGTTTGTTGTCCTTTGCCCGCACCTCCAATTAGCATGGTTGGCTCCGTACCGTGCTAAAGAAGTTCAACAAACATACACACACAAACTCACATGTTTTGTTCTAAACAGCGTAAGCCTGGACATCAATTCACGTGCCTTATCCACGGTTGAATTAATTTTGCAAGATTAAATTAAGGACAAACACACTGGAAAAAAAGGACCGATCGCCCTTCACAAACACTGCTGCTAGTTCATATATTATGCAACTGCAGAATGTATTTCTGCTCGTGATGGTGCTATTGAACGACGTTTTACATGGGGCATTTTCCATAAACTGTATATCGCTTGGGTTTATAAAAACGTTATGAACGTTAGTAACGTCACACCTTTCATCACTCGACCTCGAAAAACACAATCACGGAGGATGTTGAATCTACGCGGAGTTGTTGACGGACAACAATTTGCCTGAACATGAAACGAAAAGAAAACCCTTCTAAATGAACTTGTTTCGTAAACAAAACGATGTGATCCATTTGTTTTGTTTGCGTTTGCATTGTGGCCATGACATTTTCTGTTGCTGCCCCACTGTGTTCCCACTCAACCATGGAATGTCCACGACTGAACGGTGGGAAAGGCATTGCTCGTGGTTCCAAAGGCAATTGTCGCGCGTGTCTTGGGCATCCGATTCCTAGCTGCTTCGCACGTTACTCCCCCGTTGGCGGAGCGCCAGTCCCACTTGTGTTCGATAAAAAATGAAACGACACGCGGGTTACATGTAAGTTACACCGTGTGGTGGTGCAATGTGCAGGTTTTACTCCCATCGTTTTCAAGACATCTGGCCAAAGTAGAACAGCAGGACAAAATACCCTCTATAGTTCCATTTCGTGGGAGGTCCTTCCGCCAGCAGTGACGTGATCAAGCAATTGCAGGGCTGCACCTTCCCCCCGCCCCTTTATCCAGCTTTTACTCCACATAAAAGCGTCTGCAAGGAACACACTTGCTGATCTTTAGATATATATATTTTTTGACTTCACCCATCCCGATCAGCATTTTCCTCTCCGGTTTGGCTCGTTGTTAAAAAAAACGATGCCAAAACAGCGACGGTCGATGCAGAACACGGGGTTTTTTTTGTATCGTGGACGCGCACTCGTTAAATGAATCGGCGACAGAGAGGGCCCACCCCTCAACACCCCCCCGCCCCGTAACTGTGTGCGTACGTGGGGCAGGCGGCTAGTCGGCCTTGCCACCACGATTGTCCTTTTCGCTGGCGTCTCCCGCCTTCCTAAGTGAGCCCTTGTCGATAGGGAGGGCGGGAGCTGGCGTCGACGCAAGGCTGGCGGCTTTGCTCTGCAGGTGCTTCTCTTGGTAAGCCAGCATCTCACCCAGCACCGTCTGGAACGTGCTCAAGGCTGCACAGAGGGCGGGCGTGCCGAAGCCGTGGGTAATGAGGCTGAAAATCACCGCGCCACGAGCGTTAACAACTTCTAACCACCCAGCAACGTCTTCGCCATCCTCATCACACGACACCAAAGACAAACATCATTCTGCAACAGACTGTCAGGGCAAGTGCTGTTAGCGAGCACCTATGAAGGCCGGCAAGGCACACAAGGGGTTTGGTGGCCAGCACCACGCCCGGCCGCTTTTGTCTCCCAGTGGCGATGTTTTTACATACCGCAACAGGTACTCAATTGAGGCTCAGTCGACCTAGGGGAGGCCCAGGACCGGTTCAGATATTCTTCACTGGTTTTGGCCGTGAGCAGGACTGGAACTTGGGTCGCCTGGTTCGTAGCGCAGCCCACTAACTGCTACACTACCGCTCCCCACACACCACAACCCCCACCACTCATAAAAACACTCGAAATGCAAACTCTTCACACAGGCGATCGTGCACACATCTCCCCGTCCAACCGTTCCCCGATTGCCGTATTCTCTTCATACAGAACAAGAAAAGAAAACACCAAACATCGTAACCGGTATTGGCCAAGTCTCCCAATGCTGAAAAACAATACCTGCAAATTAGTCGATTTGGGATTACACATAGCAGCAACACACACCCATTGAGTATCGATAGTAACAATTTCTGTGAGATACTTTATTGAGGGACTGTTTATTGTCTTGGTGTGGCCTGTTGTTTTGTTGCCTTGCCCAAGCTTGCATTTGGTGTTGAAGGGTCGGCAGGAATTTATCTACTTATGCAATTAAGTACTAATATGCTTTGTGTCTTTATTTTAGTAACTTGGTTACCCTTTCTCTATGTTGCACTCCTATCGTATTGTATATAGCTTGTAACTTGCCAACCCACCCCGACTGGACGTCTGTGAAAAAGAGCTTCATAGTTCTTCGGATTCCTCCAAGATAAATAAACATTGATTCTGAACCAAACTTCCCCCGACAGTGAAACACGTGGCAAGACCCTACTGAAAAAACACGTGTTCATGTAGTATCTATTGAAAAGTGTGATAAATAGTCTTAAATAAGTATCTGTAATCTTGAGTCTATAACACCTGTTATGCATGCTGGTTGTCCACCCAAACACTGTCAGGGGTTTCATTCCTACTTTGTTGCAGAGTTATGGATGACATCGGGCACATTACAGGGGATCTGGCCATAGGTGGTCACAGCTGCTATAGGCTGCTGGTGGTGGGGGGGGTGTATGTTGTGTCCAGCAGAGCGCATTGCAGCAAAATCCATAAAATTGTACTTCACTTCTACGCTCCTTCAATTCGCCAACCCGTACTGGCCAGAGTGCTGAGCTATGTGGTAAAGTCACGTAGATAGAAAAATAATAATAAAATGAATACAAATAAAATAAGAACCACGACGTTTCGATCGCAACACAAGCGGTCGTCATCAGGAAAAGGGGCTTTTCCTGCGAGGCTGCCCTTACCTGATGACGACCGCTTGTGTTGCGATCGAAATGTCATTTTTATTATTTGTATTCACTTCATTATTATTTTTCCATCTATGTGACTTTACCGAAAGAACCAAAGAAAATGAAGTTCTACGTACATGTGTAAGGCCCATTGAGCTAGAAATCTCTTTTTCAGAAGAGACCTGGCCACAAATGATAGCTCAACGAAGTGGCTTATCACGTGGGCAAGTATAGCATGCAAATATACTCTAAAAACATGTTGATTCTAAATATGGAGGGAAAAAAACGGAGGATCCTGAGGAAAAAAATCTACATGACTACGGGGAGAGAGAACATGCCAACTCCAAATATACAGCGGGCGTCAGGGTCAGGATCGAGCCCAAAATATATACAGCGGTACCTCGGTATACGTCGTTAATTCGTTCCAGAAGGTAGGACTTATACCGAAAATGACGTATACCAAACAAATTTTTCCCATAAGAAATAAAAGGAAAGGAAATAATACGTTCCAGAGTATAAGAAATTATATTTAATATGGCATATTATACATTAATAGGGTTGTATAAAATAATTTAGACTACGTATTACTAAAATGCATACATAAATTAAAATAAATACATTTAAATAAATTGAAATAAAATGTAACATCACTTTACCTTGCTGAGAGGAGTTGATAGCCTACGAGGATGGTGGTGAGGAAGGGGAGGAGTCGTGAACGGGGTCTACGCGGCGGGTACGCGGTGACTCATCCCGACCCATACAAGTTCTAGCAAGCGCGTCATATCCCAAGCAAGACATCGTATCCCAAGACATTTTTTTCTCGTCAAAACACGACGTATACCAAATTCTACATATTCCAAAGCGGTCGTACACCGAGGTATGACTGTATACCAGGCGGTGTAGTTAGCATCTCACCACCATAGTAGCCCAACTGACAGTGAACTGACTGGCCAAGAGGACTGTACGTGTACATGTGTAGGACTTGAAATCATGCGCCACGCGTTCTGTTGCTCGGCAAGCGAGCAGAGTACAGTGGGAGCATCTGAGGACACGGTTGTTGTCGTGGCATTAAGGGGGGGGTCGTTAAGAGACACGACAGGTGTTAGGGGTGACTGAGGACGCAGGCCGGTGATTGGTCAGGAGGGTGAGTGGTTAATGACCGACGCCGGCCTGGCGGCAATAACATGATCACGTGAGGCTGGGGGCCTGGGGGCGAGTAGCAAAGCGGGGGATGAGATAATTGATTGGGACTGATTGGTGCGGGGATATAGGGCACAGCGTAACGGAGAGACGGGAGTCTTGGTTGGGATTGGAGCTGGAGTGGTTGGTGCCCAGGAGAGAGACGGAGCAGCAGTGAGCAGGGATAGGTACGGTAGAGTGGATAGAGAGAACACAGTGTACGGTTAGCAGTAGATAGAGAGAACACAGTGTACAGTAGCAGTGGATAGAGAGAACACAGTGTACGGTAGCAGTGGATAGAGAGAACACAGTGTACGGTAGTAGTGGATAGAGAGAACACAGTGTACGGTAGTAGTGGATAGAGACAATACAGCGTACAGTAGGAACGGAGAGACATGGAGTGTTGTTAATGGCGAGTTGTGCATCGGAGCGAACGGAGAGACACGGAGCGATGATGAGGAGGTGTGAACTCTACGCGTGAATAAACGAGACGAGAAAGACAACGAGAGTACGAGTCCTACACATGTACCTGAAGTGCGTGAGGTGACGCTGAACCTCTGGGTCCAGCACAGGTGTTGGCCGTGAGCTGCCAAGGGGAGAGCGGTCCTGGCTCAGGAAGTCCTGGAACTCCTTGCAGATCTGTCTGTCGAGAGCATGGTGGGTGGGTGGGTGGGTATGGAGCACCACGGTACCTCAACACCTGGGCGCACTCACAAGTGCGACCTTACAAGGTCCCACTCATCACACAAAGTTCTTGCCACGAATCACAAATGGGCCATGCCACCTTGCTGATCTCATCAGAGAGCATGCACCATCGCGTGAGCTCCAGTCAGCCTCACGGCAGTGGCTCCTGGCCGGCCTTCGAACAAAGACGGTTACCACATCGTGCACGCTTTCAAATGTGCTTCTATGGCCGTCTGGAACGCTCTTCCTTTCTATATTAGGAAGCCACTGCAGCTATGCACTTTTAAATCATCTAGATTATAAACAAAATTATTTTATAACTTATTTTTGTGTTTTGTTTGTTGTCCTTCCCCCACACCTCCGATTAAAATGGTTGGCCAAGCACGGTGCGAAGGAAGTTCAACATAAGTACATACATACCAGGAACCATCCTGGGACGGTCAAGTGAACGTATTGCATAGGGCGTTAAGCTCTTTGCTTATTGGACACATGTGACTATTCACTGCTCCGCGATTCAATTAAAGAGTGATGGCCAAATTCAGGAATCGCTTTGTTTATTTCGCAGTCGTGGCATGTGCAGAATCTGTAGTACGTGGACGGGGGAATTATTTCCTTACTGAGGGGCGGATAGGACTGTCAAATGCCTGGCTGCCACACTTTAGTCAACACCATGATCACACCGAGACGGTATACACATTGACTGTGTGATCACAACTACATGAAAGACCCCAGCTGTCAAGGGCAATTGCCCTTCCTCAGAGAAGCGAAGAACGGCCATTGCTGCATTCTTCGATATTAGGAAGCCATTGGAGCTTTGCACCATCAAATCTAGATAAAAACGAATTTCTTTAGAACAGTTTTTTCTGTGTTTAGTTTGGTCTTCCTCCACACCTCCGATGATGAGCGTAGTTGGCTACATCGGTGCAAAATAAGTTCTACATACATACAACACTGGTTGTTGTTGTCGGAAGGAAGAGCGTTCCAGATGGCCGCAAAAGCGCGCCTGAAGGCGCACGATGCGGTGACCGTCTTTGTTCGATGGCTAGCCAAAAGCCGCTGCTGCGAGGATGGCCAGAGATTTAGGTTCCTCAACGAGATCAGCCAGGTATTGTGGTTCAACTGTGACAAGCGCCTTTCCCAGAGCGCTGCTCACTTCATCAACAGCAGAGAAGATGACACGGGCCGAGTGAATCCCCACAACAAGGATGTGAAACTGCTACCCTGACGCCAATCCAGGGCGGTGTTGTTGGGGCTGCTGTTACTTATCATCTTGCATCGCTTACTTTTCATTATTGCATCAGTAATTTCACTTATCATAATTAATCTTGTATGATTACCTTACTTATCATGATTATCTTACTTATGATTATGATTATTTTACTTATCATCTTGCATGATAATCACTTTGGCGAATGACAATATTTTGTGATAAATACTTCATCTTGTATCGCTTACTTATATTTTATCGCTAACTTGGTGGTGAGTATCATCTCACTTGGTGGTATCATCTCACTTGGTGGTGAGTATCATCTTACTTGGTGGTATCATCTCACTTGGTGGTGGTATCATCTCACTTGGTGGTATCATCTTACTTGGTGGTGAGTATCGTCTCACTTGGTGGTATCATCTCACTTGGTGGTATCATCTCACTTGGTGGTATCATCTCACTTGGTGGTATCATCTCACTTGGTGGTATCATCTTACTTGGTGGTATCATCTCACTTGGTTGTGAGTATCATCTCACTTGGTGGTGAGTATCATCTCACTTGGTGGTGAGTATCATCTCACTTGGTGGTATCATCTTACTTGGTGGTATTATCTCACTTGGTGGTGAGTATCATCTCACTTGGTGGTATCATCTTACTTGGTCGCGAGTATCATCTCACTTGGTGGTATCATCTCACTTGGTGGTATCATCGCACTTGGTGGTGAGTATCATCTTGGTGGTATCATTTTACTTGGTGAGTATCATCTCACTTGGTGGTATCATCTCACTTGGTGGTGAGTATCATCGCACTTGGTGGTATCATCTTGGTGGTATCATCTTACTTGGTGAGTATCATCTTACTTGGTGAGTATCATCTTACTTGGTGAGTATCATCTTACTTGGTGAGTATCATCTTACTTGGTGGTCATATCATCTTACTTGGTGGTGAGTATCATCTTACTTGGTGGTGAGTATTATCGCACTTGGTGGTATCATCTCACTTGGTGGTGAGTATCATCTCACTTGGTGGTGAGTATCATCTTACTTGGTGGTATCATCTCACTTGGTGGTATCATCTTACTTGGTGGTGAGTATCATCTTACTTGGTGGTGAGTATCATCTTACTTGGTGGTGAGTATCATCTCACTTGGTGATATCATCTTACTTGGTGGTGAGTATCATCTTACTTGGTGGTGAGTATCATCTTACTTGGTGGCGAGTATCATCTTGCGTCGTGTCTGCTGCTCTTTGGGCTCTGCGTGCTGCTTCGCCAGGTGCTCGCCCACCGCCTTGCCGGGGAACTCCGTCTCGCACGTGTAGCCAAAGTCACGCGCCAGGTGAAGGGCCTCGCCTGCGGGAGAGCGGACGACAAAGGCACCCCCAGGTAGCCGTGTGGCCTTAACGGGCTGCTGGGTCTACTTGATATCAAAGCAAGCACCTACAAAGGTCGGCACGGTGCACTAAGCGGTTGGTGGTGGTCGGGATTGAGCCCACGACCTCGTGTATAACTGGCGAGGTAGTTAACATCTCGCCACCGTGGCACCCCAAATGGAGTGAAGGCACCCCAGAAGGCATCCACCACGGAGATGGAGTGATGGAATCAGCTCGTACTCAGGTGCTAACCCTTTTTTACATTCACTGATCCTAATAAATTGACAATGCCCTGGTCAATTGTCCTAATTCAGGCCTCCCAGAGTTGTGTGTTTTGTGTTTTGAAACAAAAGAGCGGGAAGTAAATAATCTTCTTCGGGAAAGGCAATGGCGTTAAATTGCATCGACAGTTTCAGCGCGTGAAAGCGTATTAAGGTGAACTCAACACTTTGGCAAAACATTTAAAACGAAAAACAAGAAAACAAATCCAATCATACAGGTTACAGACACATGGCTTTGTACAGCAGTATTACACTTGCCTGGAATTCACACTTATAATGAATCACTGCCCTAATTGGCATCACAGTACAGTATTGTTATTATTGTCATCTTCTTGGTTCTTTCGGTAAAGTCACGTAGAAGGGAAGTAATAAAATAATAAAAATAAAACATAATAAAACAATTCTCACGACGTTTCGGCCACAACGCAAGCAGCCGTCCTCAGGTAAAAACCAGGTCTGTCGAGGCGACAGCGTCTGAATGAAACAGCACACGTGCTTGGAGCATATATATAAGCTGGGTTGGAAGGGGGAGAAAGGGGGGCCTTGACAAAATAATATGCATATCAAGAGGCATTTAGCATATTTATGGGAAATGCAGGTATGTGATTAGTACTACTTATGCCCGTGCATTATGCAGGATTAGCAGCATCAAAGGAAGGGGGTAGGGGTAACATTAATAAAGGGAAGGAGTGTTAATAGTATGTAGCTGCAGTAACTAAAACCACCACGTAAACAACTAAAGTATAAACTACATAGTATCATCAGTATACTAAATATACTCTACAATAAGCTGAGTTATTAACAGTAAGTAATACATTACAATTCTACGTCGTAAAAATTATATAATATGCTTCCATCTAAACTTTATTCTCTTACATCACACGAGTCTACACCGTACTATATACTGCCATAGACAAACCCAACATTAAATTACATACTGTATTGCTATAAACCACCCCTATACCTTATACATTGTAATATTACACTATGTATTATTCTACCCACCCTAATGTATATCACACTGCTGTATATTGACTATACAATTACGATACTATATATTACTTTGTACATTGTATTAAGCATATAAAAGTTATACTATTTGTTATTATACACTGTACCATTGACCGTCGTGTGAAAGATACTAAGAGGAAGCAACGAAATATGTCAATGGGTGAGTAGTGAGAGGAAACTTGCAGTGGAGCAAGACAGAGGTTCTCTGCAAGCCATCTGGCTACCATGAGAGATTCGTTCATGAGGCGATCCACATATACAAACACAGAGACAATTTCAACCGAGAAGATGGATTCTGGCTTAGCAATCATTGGAAGGACGTAATAAACCATTTCGGATCTTAACTGATTGTGTTCACGTTTACGGTGACTTTCAGACCGCGTTCCACTCACTGGCATTGTATTCTCTGCAGGGAATGGATTCTTTGTCAACTGCAAGTTTACACCACTACTCACCCATTGACATATTTCGTTGCTTCCTCTTAGTATCTTTCACACGACGGTCAATGGTACAGTGTATAATAACAAATAGTATAACATTTATATACTTAATACAATGTACAAAGTAATATATAGTATCGTAATTGTATGGGGTGTAGGGAGCTCTGGGTAGAGGTAGTACCTTTGTTTTCTGGTAGCTGCACTCAATTTTTGAGTGGACGGAAACACTGGTCCTCATCCATCTCCTAAATCTCTGACGTCTGGCTCCTAGTGCCACACCCCGGTAAACCGCTTCAGCTGGCGGGCTAAACGACGTGAGGGGGTGATGTCAACACTGCATCACTGGGCGAATGAACTCCCACGACGGAGTCACCGGCCAGGGCAGAAGGGTCTCGTTAGGACCCAACGGCCAAGTGTTCGGGACTAAGGCGCGCCACTTCGTTACTGTGGACTGCGGCTGTGGCCTACCAGCTATGGTTTGAAATAGCAGGGAAGGTGGATCTCTTCAGCCTTGGAAGGCCGTCTACCTAGGAGAAGGAAACTCTGATGTAAAACCTACGGCCCGAGGACCTCGCTGTCACCGTCCCAGCTTGCTAGGCCATGGCAGACGAACCCCGGGTTTAAAGGGTGGGGTCAGTTCTGCGCACACTGCACTCCACTTGAAAGCTCCTTTGCGCAGGCAAGAAGGAAATCTTCACGTCTACCCCCCCCCCCCGGTCTCACTAAGTCCTGTAGCGATGGGAAAGGGGCGAACTCGGCAGGTGTAAGATGACACTGGCAGCCGCAGTCTCAATCCTGCATGCAGGCGGCTCAGGCGCAAGTGGTCGTCTGATGATGACCTGGAAACGACATCATCACCCGGCAGCACCCTGAGCGACCAAGCAGCCTTTTCTAGGGACAGCACTGCTTGCTCCACACGGAGAGGGGCCTAGAAAAGGTGGCCTAAACAAAGCTCGTCTCCTCCTCCCTCAGTTGGCTTACCGCGGTCAACGGGCATCTTCATATGCGGTCGAATTACATCAAAGAATCGACGGCGCATCCCACTCGCCTTAAAAGGTGGGAAAGGACTCAAACTCGCATGCTGGAACATCAGAACCATGCTAGACTCAGCTGACAGCACTCGACCTGAGCGACGATCTGCTCTAATTGCACACGAACTCGCTCTGCTGGATGTTGACATCGCCGCCCTCAGCGAAATCCGCTTTTCAGAGGAAGGCAGTCTGAGGGAGCATGGCGCAGGCTACACTCTCTACTGGTCAGGCAAACCAGCGACAGAGAGACGCCGTTCAGGTGTCGGCTTCATGATCAGGGACTCTATCGCTACCAAGCTTGCAAGCCTGCCAACTGGTCACTCTGACCGCATCATCTCAATGCGTCTACCACTTCATGACCAACAACACGCAACGCTGCTCAGTGTGTACCCTCCAACTCTCCAGGCAGATCCCGCTGATAAAGACAAGTTTTACTCCGACCTACGCAGCCTTCTGCAGGATATCCCAGCTGACGACAAGATTGTCATCCTTGGCGACTTCAACGCCAGAGTGGGCAGAGACTCGGAAACCTGGAAAGGCGTACTTGGAAGGCACGGTGTGGGCAGCTGCAACGACAATGGACGCTTGTTACTTGAACTCTGTGCGGAACAGCAGCTTTCCATTACCAACACCATCTTCCAGCAGAAAGACAGTCTGAAAACAACCTGGATGCACCCTCGGTCAAAACATTGGCATCTCATAGACTACATCCTTGTGCGCCAGCGTGACCTAAAAGATGTCTTTCACACCAGGGTAATGCCCAGCGCCGAGTGTCACACAGACCACCGTCTTGTCCGCTGCAAACTCAGCTTTCACTTTAAACCCAGACCAAGAAACGGTGGCGCCCCGAGGAAGAAGCTCAAAGTCTGCAGCCTTCAGTCTGCCGCGGTCAAAGCAGCTTTCCAGAAAAGCCTACGATCTAGGCTAGAGGAACCGAGCTGCCTAGGAGACTCGCCTCCGATTCCTGAAGTGCTGTGGGACCGCATCAAAACTGTTGTTCTGCAAACATCTGAAGATACCTTCGGATTCTCCACGAAGAAAAACAGAGATTGGTTCGATGAGAACAACTTAGAAGTCCAGGAGCTGCTGTCAAAGAAGAGATCAGCACACCAGGCCCACCTGGCCCGACCATCCTGCCCGCACAAAAAAGCAGCCTTCCGCCTGGAATGCAGCACCATCCAGCGCAAGCTTCGAGAGATTCAGAACGAGTGGTGGACCAACCTCGCAGTAAAAACTCAGGTTTGCGCTGATACTGGCGACTACAGGGGATTCTACGAAGCCCTAAAAGCGGTATATGGCCCCTCGTACCAAATCCTGAGCCCCCTGCGGAGTGCAGACGGGAACAAACTGCTCACTGAAAAGGACTCAATCCTGAACCGCTGGTCTGAGCACTTCTACACGCTCTTCAATGCTAGCCGCTCAGTCCAAGAACCAGCGATTGACCGCATCCCACAACAACCAGTGAAAACCGAACTGGATGTGGCACCAACATTACAAGAGACTGAGGAAGCCATTAAACAGCTGAAGAGTGGTAAAGCTGCAGGAGTCGATGGCATCCCTCCTGAAGTATGGAAGAACGGAGGCCCAGCACTGCACACCAAACTCCATGAATTCTTCGTCTGCTGCTGGGAGCAGGGTAAACTCCCTCAAGATCTCAAAGATGCAGTCATCATCACCCTGTACAAGAACAAAGGGGAGAAATCAGACTGTTCCAATTATCGTGGCATAACACTTCTGTCTGTCACCGGCAAAATCCTTGCAAGAGTACTGCTGAATAGACTGGTACCCGCAATAGCTGAAGATCACCTCCCAGAGACCCAGTGTGGCTTTAGAGCCAACCGGGGAACCACAGACATGGTGTTTGTCCTGAGGCAGATTCAGGAAAAGTGCCGGGAGCAAAACAAAGCACTGTACATCACCTTTGTGGACCTGACAAAAGCGTTTGACACCGTGAGCAGGCAGGGACTTTGGAAAATCCTGGACAAGCTAGGCTGCCCACCGAAGTTCCTCACCATGATCGTCCAGCTTCATGAAGACCAGCTTGGACAAGTCAGACATAGCAACAATCTCTCGCAGCCCTTCCCTATTGCAAACGGCGTGAAACAGGGCTGTGTTCTTGCTCCCACGCTGTTCACCATTTTGTTCAGCATGATGCTCCAGCAGGTCACAGAGGACCTCGACGACGCTGATGGCGTATACATCCGTTTTCGTCTCGAC